CCAGAATTCTGGCTGGCTGGGGAATTCTGGGAGCTGAAGTCCACCTATCTGAAAGTTGCTAAGGTTGAGAAACACTGCTCCAGTGTGTTATATATGCCCAGAAAGGCTTCACTGAGAAACTGAACTGAGCGCCCTGCACAGCTCAGATGCCTGTTTCTCCAGTAAAAAGTCCATCCAATCAAAACAAATCAGAGCTGAACCGGCCGGGGGGGAAACAGCCCAAACCACCAGGGTCCGTTTCTTCGGACCACCACAAAAGGGGAGTGCCTTTTTGCACGGCAGCTTTTAATTTCCTGATTTCACCGATACGTTTCTGGTAAGCTGCCCTTTAGGGGTTCCTACAATATAAATAACAAGTTAAAAATAAAGCCTGACAGTCATGTAATTGAGCATAATTAAATCCGCACTGCACGAGCCACATATAAAAACACAGCACAGCTCGTCAAGATGGGAAGTTAAAGGCAGCCTCTACGGGGGGAGGCGACAGCGCAGAAGTAAAGTTTTTAGGTTTTTCTTAAAGGGCGCTACCACCAAAAAGGCTGGCTGCTGCTTCTGATCAGTCTTAAGAAAGGATCTCCTCGCTAGGATCAGCATTTCTCTCTCTCTCCTCTTTCCAAATCAGCTGCTCGGCCCTGAAGACAAGACTCAGCCAAGCTGCGAGGGGCAACGGGGGACTCCCTGGTGGTGCCTTGGAGCAATGGCCTCCGAGAAGCCTCTTTCAGCCGGAGCAAAGAGACAGCCTCTGGTGGGCCTGGAGGGAGACCTGTGGCTTCCCTCCAGCGGTCTCCATCCAGGGGAACCAAGGACGGACAGTTATGGAAGCGGCTCTTGGTCCAGCTCTCCAGCGGCTTTCCAGTCCTCCCCACACGGCCATCTCCACCCGGCAGCCCTGTCAACCTTCCCTGATGGAGCTCAGGACCCAGAGGCGATGTCCCTGAAGCCTGTCCGGGGCTTCTTTCCTCCATCCTGGAAGAGGTGTTTCAGGAGGTGGTGGAGACGGCCTGGGGGAGATCCTTCTCCCTTGACCTACTCCCCAGGTTTCCGGAACTCCCCACCAGTAACTCCCGTTTTGGAGGGTCCTCAGAGAACCCACTTTGATGGGGAGGATGGCTCCAGCAGTAGTGACAGGAAGGATGAGGAAGATTGGAAGAAACCTCCCTCAGATGCCACCACCTCCTCCAAGTCTGGAAGGACTGTGACTGCCACAAGCCACGGTGGGACCTCGACAGCTCTGCCAAGTTATAAGGAGAAGCTGGAGGCTTATGACCATAAATATGCCTACCTGAAGTCCTGGCCCGGCCTCCTAAGGCTGCTGGGGGGTCTGGAGCTCATTCTGGGTGGGATGGTCTTTGCTTGTACTGCGGCTTATATCCAGAAGGACTATCAGTGGTCTGAACTTTACGGCAACGGTTTCCTTCCCTACAACAGTCTCACTGGGATGGACTATGGCTACTATGGCCCAATGACCCCGTTTGTCCTGGTGGTGGCTAGCCTGGTGTGGCTAGTGACTGTGATCCTGCTGGGCCTTGGAGTGACCATGTACTACCAGACTATCCTCCTCAATGCCCACTGGTGGCCCTTGACAGAGTTTGCCCTCAACCTGTTCATGTTCCTGCTCTACCTGGCGGCTGCCATTGCCTACGTCAACGACGTCAACCGGGGCGGCCTGTGTTACTCTGTCTTTGCCTACAACCCGCTCATCACGGCCCTGTGCCGGGTCGAAGGGGGGCAAGTGGCCGCCATTACCTTCCTGTTCCTCACCATGTTGCTGTATCTGACGGGCTCCCTCGTCTGTCTCAAGATGTGGAGGCACGAAGCTGCCCGGAGGATGCTGGCCCCGGTAAGAGCCTTCCGGGAAACGGGTGGGGATCAGTGAGGGGGCTGCCGGAGGGCGCGGACGGGGCAGGGGGAGGATAACAGTGGGGAGAATCGCCACCTGACGGGAGAGCCTCTGCCTCATTTGCAGGGGCTCCTGGCCTCCATCCCGGGCATCTTCAGGAGGGGAAATTGGTGGAAGAGACCTAGGTGGGCAGAAGCCCTATCCCCCTCCCCCACGGTTACAGAAATTGAGGGGAAAATGAAAAAAAATGCCCAGGGTGCTGGAGCTGGGGCTCAGGGCAGTTGGGGGGGCAGGTTGCCAGTCGCCAGGACCTGGGGACTTTCCCCCTTTCCCCATGAACCCACAGGTGCCCTGAGCGCTGCCTCGTCTGGCTGCAGCCGCAAATTCCGCCTGTGGCGGAAAGGGCCGGGGACGACAAAGCTGCAGGGCTCTCCTCCCCCGGTCGGGGCCCCGGGCAAGGTCTCTGCCTTCCTCGTCTCCTTGCCTCCCGCAGCCAAACCCTCTTCTCCCGGGGGGTGCCCCCCAGCACACCGCCCCTCGTCGCGAAGCGCGCCCGGGTGGCCGCGGCACCAGGCGC